GAGTATTAAAGAGCTCTAGAATAATCTTTTGGCCATTATTAGCCTTAGTTATGCTGTAGCCTGAACTTTTAAACAAATTTTGCTTTTTATTTCCTGCTCTGTGCCTTGACTTTTCAGTGAAATTGTGCACTGTGTTCTAATATACACATACATACAAATGCACATATAATGCAAATGCACTAGTATGTTATGTACAGCCAGGGAAAGAAAGCTGAAAATAACCCCACTCCCTTTTTCTTTTTCTTTTTTTTAAGATTTATTTATTTATGCATACAGAATTAGGGTACAAGCCAGAGGTGCAGGGATGGTGAGAGGATTCACCAAAGGCAGCCATTTGGCTCATCTCTGGGGTGGGGATCAAACTCACACTGAAGCGGCTATGGCTAGCTTGCAGTATTGTGTCCAAACCCCTTACGCCACCAGAAATAGCCCTGAAAATAACACTTTAAGTCCTTCTTGTGAAGGTTTTTTTTTTTGCTTTCCTGTTTTGTTTCTGAGGGAAGTCTCCAGTCTTCCCCAGTCAATTGTACATAATATTCTCCCATCACTATTAGTCACAAAAACAGTTTCATTTCATTAAAATATATAAAAATGCAAAAATGGAAGCTCATTAACTTTAAAATTTTTCTTTCTCCTCCTCAATTCATTAATTATGATTTTTGAGCACACTAGGATTAGGAGTGTGGAGGATGAGTTGAAAGTAAGTCTCCAGAGTTGGCTTTTCTCCCCCTCAGCAATTTAGACTTGTTTGTGGCAAATGCATGGAGCTATCTTTTGTTATTCATATGTGCCAAAAAGAAAATTCTCTTTAGCTGTGTAGGAAAGAATCAAATTATTGGTTGGCAAACTCAGCTCTTGGCTAAAAGAATAAGACTAATTTTAATTGCTTTATTGAGAGGTGCGCCAGGATACTATAGGAAAAGCAAGGCATTAAATTAAGCAATCAAATAGCAAAATGACGACATAGCAGTGGTAGAAGAGCATGCTGTAATTCTTACTGTACTTTGAAAACTAAATGCTGGCAGCAAAAATTTCTTTGAGTCATTTTTTCTCTAAATACATCTTCAGGAAGTGCACTCTGAAAACAAGTTCATATTTGGACACCCATCTTAACGATAACTGTCTGGCAAAAGATACAGACTAATCCAAAGAGAATTATCCTGCATTTTCAGTAGCTAGGACTCTGGTTGAACAAAACTCATGTGTGTATATTGATTATTATAGTCTGAAACAAAATTTAATAGTAAGTGGAATAGCAATAAGGATTAGCTTTTAATAATTACAGGATTAAGTATAGAATGTTAAAATAACCATGCAAATCATTTATTTGAAGTATATTTTATAAACAAAATTTTTGAATAAAAATGAAATTATATTTTACTTTTTGATATAAAAACAGTCTTACATGCAAAAGAAGGCAGCTTTCTTCCTTGAAAGTCAAAACATTGAAATTAAAAACCAAACAACAAAAATGTGAGCTAAACGATAAATTGAATTAATGAGTAGATCAGGGAGTTAAACAGGATGCTTGATACTAACATATTTCATATATTCAAAATGAAAATTAAATTGACATTAATTTATAAAAAGACTGCAAGCTTCATTCTCATGTATTTTAAAAAAATAGTATCAGTTTTCAAAAATCATTCAGAGAAACACATCTTTTAAAATCATACTGTACAAAGTGTTTTTTTTTTTTCCATTGCTCACTCAACTGTGTACCTTACTGAGGGAGTAGAAAATAAGGCAAAAACCAGTTTCCATCAAAAGTTTATAATTTCACTAAAAGGCAAAACAGATTCTCAAGACTGTAGTTAGTGAAGAACATACAAGGAGTATTTCTGAACAATACATGAAGGTTATTGGAAGTTAGAAATCATTGTTAAATTATGGTCCAAGTGGAGATAAGGTTGAGTTGGAGTCCGAAGATTGTCACATTGAGATGTGTGGGAAAAAGTGATGAGGAACCTGGAAGTGTGACTCCCTGCAGGAGATGGTGGGCAGGGGCCTGTAGTACAACATCAGGGGGTGGTAAGGAACAAATTGTGTAGACACTAACTTTCCTTATTCTGAGGCCCCACTTGGGAAGAATGCCACCTGCAGAAAACCACAGCTGGACTGCCAGGCGCAGGAACATGGGAGACACTGAAAAGGAGGCTTGGGGAGAATTCCAGTGGCCATAAGTTCTTGGGCTCTTGGAAAAGTCCATGATTGCATCTCAGCATTTTAGAAATGGTTCTTTGGGTTCCTTAGGAAAGGGGGAAAAGACAAGTTTGGAAAAAGGATCTGATTTTAGGGCGAGAGAATGGAAAATTGTGCGGGAAATTCTGTTTGTCTACTCTCCCTATTAATGCCAGCCTCTTCCTACCACACTAGTCAAATCATCCTTATGAAGATGTTAACTAGTAGCTAGTTAATTCTTCCTGTGGAGAATTAAATTTACATGTACTAGTGAATTTGTGGTTTTATCCTTTTTCAGTTTAGTCTGGATTCAGTAGACACTTGTGATGTGTCAGTAACTGTGATAATCTGTGATAGTGAACTTTTGCAAAGGCACTAAGGGAGATACATATTCCTCAAAACTCTTAAAATTTTATTGTTTCAGTCAGTGGGCTGCTACAGTAGCTAATTTTAAGACAAATCCTCCTGTGTTCTTAGGATCTCAAGTGTTCTCATAAACACATACATGCTTACATACACTCACACATTTTCCTATTGTAGTCTCCAACAATTTTTCCCTTATACTGTCTTTTAAAATTTGTTATCTGAAAAATCTTATTGTTTGGAAAACATTATTCCAAGTGGTGCCAATTTGATGAATGAAGCATTTTTTTCATTTGTAATTTATTGCAATTTTTATCCATATGAACACATATATTTGCACATATTTGTAGTTAAGTAAAAGAAAGCAATTGTTTATTGAAAAGAAATGTGATTTATCCTTTTTCAAGGAAGAGTGGCATAGAAGGGCTATAAAACCTTCAGGGTTCCCATATGGAGGGGCTCAAACTGTCACCTTTAACTCATTTGTGGAGTAGGACATCTGACAAGCAGTTAGTTACCTGAGAGCACCTCTGTTTGTCCAAGGTGGGGTGTGTGATAAGAGGGAGGGGACATGGTCACATGTTGTCTGACTCATCTCTAAGCACACATGCCAGTTTCTCCTACAGTCAGGACAGATTCTAACTGCAGTATCCCTGGACTGCAACCCTTAACTTCCACAGTTTGAAAACCAGCAAGCACTGGGAGTCATTGAGGCTACAGTAAGCCATATGCATGATAACACCACTATTGCTTGACTTTGACCCTCACACAATTGCCTTTTTTCTGGTTCTGAACTGCAGCTGTGCTTCTGTATGGTGTCTGCTTCTTCCCCGGGCTCCAGAACAGTCTGCCAGGTCACCAAAGGGAAGTTAATGTGAAGCTACTTTAACTGCTTCACCCGCGGCCTTTTATGTTCAAAGCTGACATATTTGTAAACTACATAGATATATCTGGTATATAATGTGTAGGATTTCATTATCACAGCTGGTCCAACATGATTTTATGATCCTTTTGGGGGGTAATTTAGCAAAAGATGGGAGATAAACAGCACAGCATAGTTTTAAGTATGGATTCTAATTATTCTTCTATAATTACTAGTTCTATGACAAGATAATGTCTCAGAGCTTCAGTTATCTCTTCTTTATTTTGGATATGTCTGTGTTCTCCCCAAAGTCATGAGTTTCGCCAAGATGAAGAACACCAATGACACCCCTTTCCTAAGTTAGTGTGTGGCTGAGAGTACATTACTGGTATCAAAGAGCTGAAAATGCCTCCTGTAGCTGACATAACAATGAAGAGGCTCCTCTTCTGACGTTAACACTCATCTAAATCTTCCTTCTACTTAGTAATCACAAAGTACTATAACAGCCTGCCAAGGGTCCCATTTACATCCCATATACATTTAGACTGAATTTTCCATTCACTTATTTAAACATTGAACATCAAGGCATACACAGAGTTGGATAGTAAATATACAGCCACAAAAGCACCCTCCTTTAGAGTGGGCCAAAAAGTGGAAACTCATCTTACTTGAATTGGATCAAATGTTGTGACTTGATCTACCTTTGGGTGATACAACTAATGAAATTTAATTCTCTGAAGAGCTGGTAGCACAAAGCTTTAGAGTTGTGCTACCTTGGGAAAGTGACATAACTTCTGAACACACCTAATCTGTGAATCTAAGCCCATTAAGAGAGTCCTCCTCTTTTCTAGGGCTCTTATGAAATTCATCTGATGTGAATGAATACAGCCTCATTCTAAATAGTGAAACTCTAGAAACATAAGTGGTGATTATGCTTTTGTATGTCCTAAAGGTATTTGAAAGTTATTGACTGCCTTTTCCTCAACATTACTTTTCTTGTATAACCGAATTCCTGAAATGTTTACCAGCCCACCTACAAAGAACATTCAATTTTATGCAGTAAAATCACTTATTCATTTACTATTATGGTGTTCATTACTCATGATTAGGCAGAATTCTGCTGGTTAAGGTATAATTCTGAGGAGGCCTAGAAGATTCCTCCTCTGTGCTCCTGACAAAGTTATTTATTCCTGACAAAGTTGCTAATAATGAAAAGTTCTGATATTGAAAATTAACTTACTTGTCACTGTTTTAATGTAATTACACATTGGTTCTGCCATTCATAATACATTCTTATTATGAATTGAGTTCACCTAATCATTTTAATAGATTTTCAATTGAGGAAAAGAAATGGAACATGAGTGAATAGGGCTTAAGACTTAAGTCTCAGAGAAATAAATGTAAAAAGAAAACTGCAGTATGCACTTTAGAATTTGTCTTTATGTAGATAGTGGAATACTTGGACTTTTTATCATTTATATAGTTTTAATCCTCTCGGTGACAAAAATCACACAAAAATATCTAGAAATAAATTTTCTCTCTCTAGATACCCTACATATGGGGTCTGAAGAGAGAGAAGAGGAATGGCTCTTACCCAGCAGGTCTTGTGTCTTCAATGGCTCTGTCCACTGGGATCAAATCACTAAGATAGACATTGAAGTTTCCTTCTTTCCATCTTCTTTCTGCTTCCTTCTCCTTTCCACGGGGAACGACTACAGGACGCCCAAACTGACCTGGAGCTTTGGGGTCCCTTGGAGAAAGTGTCACATCAATTCTCCATACAGGGTGCATTCCATCATCGTCAGGTAAAGGGGCTTTTGGTTGACTTTGGTTAGGTTCCATAGGCTGGAACTTGGCAGCCAAGTTGATTCCTGTTGCCTCTTGCCCCCCAGTTAAGGCTTGCTTGCTTTGAAACACTGTTGCTCTCTGTAGAGCAAGTGAAAAGAAAGATGCTTCACTTCTATTTCTGGAAATGTGTTTCCTTTGGCTTTGACCCAATACTGTAGGAAATATAGTTTTGGTTTTAGCATTGAAGACCTCTCTGGTGTCTGTGTTTAGTTCCTCTTTGGTTCTAATCACAACATGGCTTTCAGAGAAATTGAGTTTCTTCCCACCATCCACTTTGGCTCCATTATCCTTTGGCAAGCCTCCCAACTGTGTCTCATTAATAGATTGCTTCTTTAAGTGATTTGAATTGGCAACAGATTTAGAAAAGGGAAGGCTCTTATTGGCTGTGTGTTTATTTGCATTTAGTTCTTTGCTCTGAATCTCGGTTTTATTTAAGGGTATGGCTCCCTTAGATTTTGGCACTGGTGGGCTGGCAGGGCGTGTCTTCTCATTTGCTACTGCCTGTGATTGCTGCTTTGAGCTGTCAGTAGTAAGACTGGTCACAGTCAGGTTGTGTTCAGCTGCTTGTTTTGATGTGTCACTGCTGAAACTATGACTCTTCAGGGCCTCTTGATTTATATCCACAGGTCCTGTGTGTACAGATATTTTGACCGGAAGAGTTCTTCTTGCTGCTACAAATGCAGTTTTCTGAGCCCCCTGAGGTGTCTTTGGTGTTATGGGAGGAGAGGAGGCTTCGGATTTGATGTGTTGTGTCTCTGTTTTTTGCTTGGTAAAAGTCACTGGGAGGCTTTGCAGATGCGCAGAATGCCACAGAGGTACAACTTTGTCTTTTCCTGAGGCATTCTGCATTTTTCTTTCTCTCTGGATTGGGTCCAAGTCATCCTCAACCTTGAGCACATTCTCCTCAGTCTTTCTAAAGTTCTTTTTGCTCCGTATACCCTTCTTATATCTGTTTAGGGGGTGCTTCATATCCTTCGTGCTGCTGTAAAGAACCTTCATTTGGCCTGGCTTTACTTTGAATCCTATCTGCTCTCTTCTGATGATATGTTCCTTGAGGACGCGAGTATTTATCTCACTGAATGAGAGGCGGAGAGCTGCCATGTCAAAAAGTAGCCAGACGACAGAAGCTACAAATATAAATGCCAGGACGCGCCCACTTCCTCGGAAAAACTTTCGGATTTTGTTCATGGTACAAAGGGGTCCCTTGCAGTCTGCCCTCCCTTTGAGCCTGCTTACCTTGAGTGGAGAGGGAGCTGAAGTAGCAGCAGCAGCAACAGCAGCAGCAGACTTGCCAGAAAGCGCCCCCCTCCCCCGGAACAGCAGGAAGCAGCGGTCCAAGGGGAACGCTCAGCTCCTACCCCTTGTCAGTCTGCCTGCGTGGCATTTCATAGCAGAGCATGTGTGCCTGCTCAGCTGGCCCCTGGCTAAAACCCTGCTAAACGCTGGCCTTGGGTAACTCTGGGAGCAGTTGATTGCAGCCACCAGACAGTTCAACCTATCACTGGTCTTGTCTCTGTGAGCCCAAGTTCACCTCTAGAGTCCAAGGAAAGGTGGGGGCCAGGCTGGCGCTGCGGCTTCTCTCCTCCCAATCCTCGGTCTGCACGCTGTAACTCAACACCACTTCTCATAAGGAAAACATTTTCAAGTCATTACCCAGAAAACTTCATTCAGCTCTCACCTTCCTTGTTATGTGAGAGTATGTGTGCTTTAAGGGCAATTAAACGGAAAGAAAGCTATCTAATTTAGAGGGCATGTGTTCTTGGTTTGTGACCCCACCTACCCCATGCTATTTATTAACCCTCTTGTACCCAGCCTCCCAGTGATCTGAGTCATTAATTACTGGCCTTAATGTTTTAGAATTAAGAGGCCGCAGCTTAAAGAAGCAGGCTAGCATTACCTTACCACCAGAAGGGAGGTTTACTTATTCAGAAGGTTTGACGTGAGTGGTATCAAAATGTATTTTTATAGTAAGACAACATTTTTTTTAAAAAACTCCTCGTCATTTGTTTTTATTATATGATTCAATAGACATATAAACATGCTTAGTCATTTTGCTATAAAAGTTGCTAAACTCTCAATGTTGGTACTTACCTAGTCATAGGCCAGTAGCAAGCAGTTTACAGATGCACCAGGACTTGGACTAGAATTAGAGGCAGACTTGGTACAGCAGTGATTCCCACGTAGGTTTTATGTTTTAATCAATTTAAAAAAACCCTAAATTTTGATTAATTGATAGGGAAGAAGCGACAGAGATGACAATTGATCTGATAATTGTGTTTTAGAGACATTTCCTAGGTATTTGTAATGATCAGCCAAAGCTGAGAAATACTGTTCTAAAATGAAATGCCTCATTATTTATTTTCTGATTGTTGAATATTGCCCTTAATTTCTGTGAAATTCTTTTCCAGCCAGAGTAAACCATAATAAAGACTACAAATTCCCAGATAAGTGAATCCAAATCTGCATTTTAACATCTTTTGTAAACATTGGCCATAATGTTTGAGGAACACTGTCCAGAAGTACTGTTCTCCAAGGAACTCAGTGATCCACAGCCAGTGATACCCCCTCTTACTCTTGTATTGAAAGGAATACAGTGTCCCTGCTGAGATGAATTTAGTCACTCAGAGTTTCTTCCTTGGAAAAGGATTCTGAGTGCTTACATTTACAAGTTGTCTTTTACCGTACTTGCCCTTTAATTCTGTACTTTAATCCAACGAAGGGAACAAACAAATGCAGTTATAACACATTTCTTGTATCTCTGATTGCCTTTCTATTCAGTGCCTGCTCACTTTGATTTGGAATAACCCTATGGATGGTAACATTGGTAGCTCATCCATTTCCTCCATGCATTCTACTTCACAAACTTCCAGAATTTTTGAGTATGTTCAGTCTCAACTCTCATACTGGGAACTGAAAGATACTGAGTAAATAAAAGGACACAGGTGCTTTTGAGACCTTATATTCTGTTGGTGGAAACAGACAGGTCTTAGACCCATATATAACATGCAATACGTAATATGAGAGAATAATAATGTTGGGTTTTGTGGAATTGTTCTTAATTTGGGATGCATGGATGATTTTTGAACAAACATCACTAGATTTAGGGGATTATTAAGAACCATGGTTGTATGACACTATAACCCATGTACTCAAATACCACATAGGTGCTTCTCTGACTGTATGACCTTGCAAGTTAGCTTTTGTGTTTTCTGAGTAATTAAAAAAGGTCTGTCTTGCAGGTTTATACAAAGATTGAGGAAATGATTTAAAATTCTGTTACTAACCACACCCTACAAATGATAGTCACTGCCGTTAATACTATTGCTGATACTTTATTGTGGCAGGCATGTTCAGCACCTATGGAAGACAACATGCCAGCTCTATCCATTGATCAAGTAGAAGACTGATGACCAATAGGTGTTTGGTAGTTAGGAAGAAAGTATATTTGAACATTTTCTTTCTTTCCTTGTGGTCTCTGTTTCTTTTTATTGTGGTTTCAATCAGTGAACATTTTTTTTTTAACTGACAGCTTATATTATATGTTGTAAACATGAAGTAGGTGATATTGTTTCTTCCCTTAGTGATTTAGAATTGTGTGAGTAGGACTCTATCAATGGAAAACATAGCACATATAATGAGAATTTTTATTTTAAAATAAAGTAAAAAATGTTTTTGCCCCCAATGTGAGTACCTTTCTGTGTTGAGTTATAGTGAGTATGCCTGATATATATGTAATGTTAGAGTTCAATGTTAATTCAATAAAAATTAAATATATCTTACTTCCTTTAGAAATTATCAGCTGGCCCTCCATGGTGGCCTCGGGGTTAAGTCTTAGCGCTACCACCATTAAGTCCCACTGTATTGACCTGAATTTGATCCCAGCCAGGGAGCTAACCCACATGGCACAGCAGACCTCTCCTGTCTCACCTGCTGCCTCCATCTACCCATACCTCTGACCTGTACCCTAGTTCTCCTCTGCAAAATAAATAAAATCTTAAAAAAAAGATACAGATAAAAAAACACTCCCTAAAGAGGGATGAGTTAAATACCAAGAAATAGGTCCTCTCTGGTGGCATAACGGGTTAAAGCACAGCACTGTGGAGCTATCCCCAGCTACTGCAGTATGAGCACTATCCCTAGCTAGAGAACTGACCCACATGACACAGCAGACTGCTCTTGTCTCACCTGCTGCTTCTCTCATCAGTGTATTTCAGTAGATCTGCCTCTTCTGCTCCTTATCTGCCTCTGGTGAACCTCTCACCTCCCATATCTCTGACCTGTACCCAAGTTCTTGTAAATATAAATAAATAAATATTTGAAAAAAAAAAAGCAAGTAATATGATTTTGTTGAGTATTTATTTTGTTGAACATGCAAGGCCATAAACCATTGTAATAGTTTAGAATTTTTTGACCTCTCAGCAACTAATTTTTTTGTCTTTTTCATGATGACATCACCTCACTGAGAAAAACACACATACTACATTATGATACTATTCACAAACATAATTTTACAGTTCTTTTATAAATAACTTTTATAAATATAATAGATTATATATATATAACTTTTATATATATTAATGCATTTTTTATAAACAAATACTATCTCATAAATAAATTCTTTAAAAATGTTCTTACAAATAGGGAAACAATCAGGATAAGTCAGTAACTTGTGAAACCATCTTTTATTTAAAAATAGAAAAGACCTGAATGTTTTCAAGACTAAGTCATAGAAGTAGTAAAATTAAAGATAAAGACTGGGTAAGACCTTATCAAATAAAAGTGAAGTCTCAGGGGAGACGAAATAGATTTAAGAACACGGGTGATTTATTTAATTTATTGGAAAAGACTAGGGGCATGTTTTATTTTGATAGTATGCTTGCTCCAGGGAAGGCAAGAATTAGAATAGATGGCAGGAAGGAAAGTTTATGGAGATTGTGCCCAATGGCTGCAGATTATCAAGTGAGTACAGAATCGACAATGAAGAGTTGAGGTGCATAGGAAGGGCGTCAGTGCACTTGGCACTCGTTGGACTCAGTTGTATGAAGAGAAAGGAATGTTACTGACTCAGAACTGGAGTAAGGGGCTGTCAGAGAGTCATGCTGACATTTGAACCAGTGCCTCTAATTTAGAGAAAAACAGGCTGAATGACCATGAAACAAGAAGGGGATGTTGATAGTCCCACAGCATTCCCAATGCACAGGAACAAAGGGTGATGGTGAACAGATATAGATCAAGGTTTCTAGCCAGTTTGGTGGAGAAGTGATGTTGTGGAATCTTTATAAGAAGTGGAATGGCTGGCTCTTAAATGACGAGTAGAGCTTCTATAGGATAGGGTAGGAAGTAGGTACCAGGGTTTCTGTTTTGACTGATTGATTGATTGATTGATTGTTATTTTGGCAAAAGGAGTTCCAGTGGCTCATCTAAAGCATTAAAAAAAGACTTTCATGCGTCTCTTAAGGACTTGGCCAGAGCAAAATTATAGGGTAATGTGAATGAATGCTTGCAACGCGGCATTCTGCCATGATTCTAAGGAACTCTACCTGCCTGCTTCTTTGTTGTTCCAGGTGCTGCAGATAATACCCTCAGACTACAGTATCTTGGCTGGTCATGACTCTTTCCTCTTCTATATCACCATACCTTGGAACCATCCTGTCATCTTTATGATTTCCATGTTAGCAAAGAGAAGAGAAAGAAGAAGACACCAGTAGGAAGGAAATTGTTGTGGGAGAGGCACAGAGCAGGCAATATGGAAGGCATTTGAGGGCAATTTTCATGTGCTGTGAAGAAGTGGGATGAAATGAAAGCCTTTCAAAAAGAGCTAGATGCTTCAAATACTCTCCCCACCAACACCACCACCAACTCAGTTCCTGCCCCCAGGAGAAAGATCAAAATAACTTTCTGTGGGATGAAATGATGACAATGACTTTGGAACCAATTAGATTATCATAACCTAGAAACAACCCTTCCATTTGAGGTTTGCTGAAGTACTGAACTGTGAAACTCAAATTGCTGTGAAAGAAATGAAAGAGACTTGAACTCAAGGCCCTTTGGACATTTCCTTTCATGTCAAAGAAGGATTATTTTCTCTCTGAAAATAGGTTAGGAAAAAGACAAGTGATAAACTAAGACATGGTGGAAATAATAGTAATTGGAAATGACTGAAAGAGGAAAAGAAAAATGAGTTTAGATTAATGCCAAGCCTGCAGTTTTTCACAGGATCTGATTTGGTCACATTATCAAATATTTAAAGCATTACTCAACTCTTCTGATGTATTTTTCTTACCCTTGGAAGCTAAGGATGAACTACTCAAGAGTGGATGCAAAGGAGATGGGCATATAGAAGCATCCACGATGAATGAGCTAAGACGTGTAAATTCAGCTCTTTTCCAGAGTGTTGAAATACGCCTAGATATAGACAAATCCTCCACATGTGTTGGGGCTGGAATGGAGCCATGCAGCAAAGGATAATTTGAGGGAAAAAAGAAAAGTAAGTACACACATTACATATACAGCTATATAGGCAAACTACAGGTATGAGTTATGTTTGTGTATATATATTGTATTTATGTACATATGTTTGTGCAGAGTTCACAGAACACACCTAAACAAATCAGATGTGCTGATTTTTGAGCTCTGGAAGAAAAAAAGTGATGTAGAGTTTTTGAGGACATT